GAGATGTGTGCTTGCATTGTTTTCTTCTTCATTCATCAGTCTGTTTGTCATGCTGTACCTTAAGGCTCCTCTTGAGGGAAGGTAGTAAGTAAATTCAGTTTTTTATTAAACATTAGGGGTTGAAAAGGGGGAACCTTACCATATTGTACTAGCAGAGACCTTTCATTGTAAAAAGTGAGATGATTCCTTTAGAAAACTGTGAATTAAAGAGGGGAATTATGACCAAGAATATGTTTTGGATGAACAGATGCCAACTGCCTATCTCACTAGATGATTACTACTCTAAATATTTTTCCATTAGCTAGTTTCAGCTCAGGAAGTGAATTAGACCTTTAATGGCCGAAGCAACCAGGAAATGAATGATATATTTATAGATTCCACCAGTGAATTTGAAATAAAACTTCCTGCCTATTAAAAATTCTGCCTGCAATATTCACTGTAAATGCTTTTTTTAAAATGTATTCTTGAATGTTCCCTCTTCTTCTTCTACTCCAAGCCTTTTGAAGGTCTGATATTCTTAGTAAAGAGGATAAGCTACCTAAAACCACCTTTTGAGGAAAGCCCAGTTTTATATTGTGTGGGACATCAGATTACCATGGAGCCTAGCTCCTGTTTCAGCAGCAGAACTAGCCCGCTTCTGCTTTGGGAGTCTACAGCGGGTCTGCACCGTGGGCCGCTCTGAGGGCCTCGCCAGGCCTGGCGCCTCCCCGGCGCTGGGGGAAGCTGTTTCCACCTTATTTAGACTTAGGAGTGTGGCTGTGCTTTGGAAGACTGGGAATGCTTGTCATACGCAGGCTGAGAGCAAGACAGGCCTGGGCTGCCATCGGGGCTCGGGGTTAAGAGTCAGGAGGGCCGCTTCCATCCACACTCTCAGCGCGCAGCTCTGTGTGAGGCCTTGGACTAGCGATTGGGGTGGAGGACCCCAGGGCACCCCCACCCCCGCCACCCCGTACCCCACGTGAGTCTCCATTCCGCCTGCAGCGTTGTACACTCTCCTCTTCGAAATTTTATTGTTCAACTGCTTTACAATTAATATGATTTTGCGTTAGTTTTAGGTGTGCCGCGTAGTGGTTGGACGGTCGTGTACTTTACGTAGTGGCCCCCTGGCATTCTCAGCACCCACCTGGCACCACCGTAGTTACCAGGATATCACTGACCAGGTTCCCTGTGCTGTACTTCACATTCTGTCGCAGAATCAAGTGAGCATCCCACTGCCCTCGCGTCCTGTACCCGTTAGACCAGAAGCTGTAGGCTCTGGAGAAAGAGGGACTGTTAGAAGCAGTGAAAAGAAAGACTCAAATGAGAGACTTTTTAAAGCAGACTAGGCCCTAAGGGACTTGTGTTTTTGTGGGGAATGAGGGAATAACACAATTACTTTCATTATGTGTGGAAATTTTCATTTTCTTCCTACGGACAGTCGATCAACAGAAGTTCCAGCTCTGTGAGTTTCTCACCCTGGTACCCGAACTCACCCTGGTGCCCGATGTTTAGCGCTCTGCTCAGTGTATTGGAAACACTGTAACTGTGTGTGTGCTCGAATTTTACTGAAGTATGACTTGGAAAAGTGAGGTTGCATCGACCGCCTTTTAGTATTTGGATTATTGTCAGACCTATTTTTGCTGACAGATCGATCCTCGTGCGGTGCCCCTCGTTGTTGGCTTGTGTAGCAGAGCCCAGCGTGAGCCACTTCCTTCCTGCTTCTTGCTCTCTGCGGGTCCCCAGGGCCAAGGTCGAAATCTCCAGGCTCTGGCCTGCCCCCACCCCCACCGCCCCCTGGGGGGATTGCTGTTCTCTTGGGTTTGTTTCTTTTTACTTCGGATGCCACTTTCTCCCTTTCATCTTCCCTTCCTTTTTTAAAAAAATGTAATTTGTTTTTGCTTTTTTCAGCTGCCTAAACCCTAGGCTTTATTCTTTTCATCAGTAAATCGGGGACTAGATAATAATCTTTAAGGCCCATGCTAACACTCTGTGAACCCATGGTGTTACGTACTTATGAATAAATATATAATTGTCATCTTTTGACAAGTTTCCCAATAAATCATGGGGTAGAAGTGTACAGGGGATGACTTCACCCTCCACATTTGGTTTCTGGGGACCTATGAATTAAACTGACAAAGGGGAAGATTAACAGTAGAAAATACTTTAAAAAACTAATTTAATATTTTTACATGAATAGGAACTTCACAGAATGAGAGTGAAAACCCAGAAAGGCAGTTAGATCTGGGGACTTATATACCATTTTAACAAAGGGTGGTAAACTGCTGAAAGGGGACTAGAAGGAGAAGGGGCGTGGGACTGCCGGCGTAAGTATGGGAAGGTGACTGTGGAATGGACCGGAAATGCTGGGGGGGGGCCTTTACAAGTGGAAATTGCTTTTACGAATGGGAGGTTTATGCCCTGCTTTCCGCAGATAGGAGAGGGCAGAGGGCTCCTATAGAGTCTGCTTCCTCTCAACTGTCTTCGCCCAAAATAACTGTGTCCAAGTGGCATCATTTAGGGCGGCATATTCTGATCCCCTTCAGAAACATGACCACCCTTTGGGACCCTCCTGTCTTTCAGAGTCATGGATACTGATTTATAAGACTGATTTATAGCCCTGGCTGGTGTAGCTCAGTGGATTGAGAGCGGGCCTGTGAACCAGACAATCGCGGTTCAATTCCCAGTCAGGGCACATGCCTGGGTTGCAGGCAGGTTCCCTGCAGGCCAGTTCCCAGCCGGGGACACACAAAAGGTAACCATACATTGATGTTTCTCTCCCTCTCTCCTTCCCTTCCCCTCTAAAGATAAATAAATAGAATTATTTTTTAAAAAACTGATTTATGACATCAAATAATATGTATCCCAACACATATATAATTGATACTGATAAGTCAGCAATACCTATAACAGTGGGACACCACAGGTGATTTGCCAGGAACGTATTTGTAATTTTCTAATTTTAAGAATATTTAATACCAAAACATCAAGTTGTGTACCTTCAATAAGTATAATTTTTCTTGGTTATCCATCAATAAAGCTAAAACATAAAGAATATTTAAATACTCTGGTTGTGATCTATGAAGCAAAGACCTTGTCCAAATTTTTTTTAAAAGCCCACAGATATTAATCAGTGACTCATGCATTGGTCATTTTCAGTAGGGTCTGAGGCAACATCAGTGGAGTCTGAAAACATAGAAATTATTTTTTTAAAGTCTGATGGTTAAAGGTCAATTGGGATTTTTTTTCAAACCTCCTCATAATTTTAATTCACTCAGTATGCATGGTCTTTAGTACAGGGTAGTTTGCCCCCAGGGGCATTTGGCAGTGTCTGGAAAACTGGGTTGTCACAACCTTGGGGGATGGGTACTACTGGTGTCTGGTGTGCAGAGGCTGGTGATGGTGCAAATATCTGAAATTCGTAGGACAGCTCCCTGCAACGGTAAAATTGCTCGTCCCCAAATGTGAATTGTGCCAACTCGAGAGACTTTTCCACTTGTGACTTCGTGACTCAACCAACATAAGAGTTCTAGAATTGGAGTGTCTACTCGTGTTTAATTCTGGGGGGGTCTTGAAAACAAAATGGAGGGCATTAAAACTCACATCTTGGCCATGAGCATCATTATAAACTATCTGCTTATTTGTGGCCTTCTGCCCTCATTCGGACAATTAGATTTTCACAGTGGATTCTTGAGTTGGGTTTGCGGCCCTGTTACTACTGTGGGAAAACAAACAGAGGAGGCACCAGAAAGGATCCCACCGGCTGGTGTCGTGTGTGCACTGAGCAGGTGTGAAGATTGAGGGGTTCCTTCATAGGTAACAGTTCTCACATAGTGCTTCAGAGTGGAGTCATGGACACTGAAGCTAGAATTGAACCATTTAGTCCAGTGCTATTGTTTTAAAATAAGACAAGAGGCTGCCTAATTTGCAGAGTTTTGCATGTAGAACTGACACGGGCTTGATTATAACCCAGACACACCCACTCTCCTCATGAGGATACTCCCCACACTCTAGGTCTTTTTTGTGGGCTCATCTATTAGAGTTGCCCCTCTTTAGCCTCTGTGTTAGGCTTTGCTCAGTGTGGACTTTAAGAAAACTCAGAGAGGCCCTGACCTGTGTGGCTCAATTAGTTGAATGTCACCCTGCAAAGCGAAAAGTCACAGGTTCAGTTCCCAGTCAGGGCACATGGCTGGGTTGCGGGTTTGGCCCATGATCGGGGTGCGTACGAGAAGCAACCTAGCCATGTTTCTCTCCCTCTCTTTCTCCCTCTTTTCCCCTCTCTTTAAAAATAATTTTTTAAAACATTTTAAAGGAGCGAACCTGGGGAAGAACTGACTCTGTGAGTGAGGGACTGGCAGGTGCAGCCCCACACCATTTACTCAGCTTGGGACGTGATATTAAAGTGACGGAGGGAGAGATGCAGGCTGGGCAGGGACTGAGGAAGCTTCACTAACTTCGTGTTTCACCAAGTAAAACCCAGAACACTAACCAAGCAGCGACACACCCCGAAACTAGGTGTTCAGGGAAAGTGACTGTCGGAGGAAGGAGACCGGCAGAGACCACTGTCACTTGCGGTGATCACACTGCCCTGACCTGGTGTAGTCCCAGGTGTCCAGAACAGGTGGTCAGGTGCAGAGGCCGGCGTAACGGTCACTGCCGAGATACCGCTGCCCCAACGTGCTGCCTCTCTTGGTGCGAGTGGAAAGCGACACCTGACCGCCACTGCAAGTGCGGTCGCTGAGCCTCTCTCACAGCCTGATTAGCAGGTTGATGCTTTTCCTTTTTGCTTTTCAAATGCTATTTTGCAATTTTACTTTCAACTTATCTTTTTCTGAAAACCTGCTAATTTCATGTGCGTTAGCTCTACAGAAGAGAATGTTGCTTAGCAACTGCCAAAATAACTAATAGCCCTATCTCCAGTGGCAGCTTGGAGGACTATTTATTTTAAATTTATATATTTCTTTATTGACCATTAAAATCAAGAGGAAGTTGTTTCACTTTGAGTTTATTCTAATTTCTGCATTTTTAAAATTCATATATGGGCTGTCTATAGCAAAAAAAACACACACTACATCAAAACAAAAAGCAGTGTATTTTCTAATGAACAAAGTAAACTGATGAACAAAACTGGAACAGAGGCCTGGACACATGCAACAGACTGACAGCTATCAGAGGGGAGGGGTTTTGGGGAGCTGGATAAAAGAAGGTGAAGGAATTAGGCAGAAAAACATGTATATATGACCCCACAGACACACAGGACAGTATGGTGATAGCCACAGGGAAGGGGGTTGGGGGAGGCCGGGCAGAGAGGGAACAACTGGGGACAGAAAGAGACTTTGCTTTGGGCGGTGGATGCACCGTGCAGTGTGCAGATGCTGTCTGGTTGAGTTGTACACTCGAAACCTGTATGGTTGTATTAACCAATGTCACCCCAATAAGTTCAACAAGAAGGAAAGACAGTGTATTTGACATGAATGTCTCTTGTCTCCCATCTTCCTCGTGGTAACAGCGCTCCATGTTCATTACTCGCTTTAGTTATTTTTTTCCAGCAGAGAACCCTCTCAGTAGCATGTGCTGGGTAGAGAAATGTTTTCTAATTCACTGAATATGCGGTCCTTCAGTGTTGCTTTTTTAATGCCAAGAAGCTATTTTCTGTAGAAGAAATAGATTAGAGTTTTAGGCGAGGGGAAGACTTTGAGATTACATTGAAATGGCTGCTATTTACCTATAAAGGTTTTAATTTGGGGCCGTTGACCAGAAGTCTATGAGAAGAGTCATCAGAGCACCTGGCTGGTGTAGCTTAGTGGATTGAGCACGGGCCTGCGAACCAGACAGTCGCGGTTCTATTCCCAGTCAGGGCACATGCCAGGGTTGCAGGCAGGTTCCCTGCAGGCCAGTTCCCAGCAGGGGACACACGAAAGGCAACCATACATTGATGTTTCTCTCCCTCTCTCCTTCCCTTCCCCTCTGAAGATAAATAAATAATTTTTAAAAAATTAAAAAAAAAAAAAAAAAAAGAAGAGTCATCAGAACCTTTAAGGGCTTCGGGGTGGGAAATGGCACCATATGTGCTGCAGTGTCCTGTCAGCCCCGTCACTTCATCTGGGTGACTGTCACAGGTTCCAGTGTGCCTGCTCTGACGTACAGAACTTCTTTGTCATCTGATCTCAGACCTATTTTCTTCACCGTGCGTCTGTTCAAATGCCCGGGGGTAACGACACACTACCTGTGAGGTTGCTTTCCGCCCCCTTGCACGCTGTGCTGGTGTAAAGTGGGAGACCCCTTCTGCAGATGCATCCGTAGTACAGGAGCCCGGGCAGCTTACGTTAGCAGAGCGCAGGCCGTCTGCATTCAAGAGAAGCCGCGCATGCTTTCAGAGGCCCTTCCGTCTGAGAGTGAAGCCGCTTTACAGATGGCCGCTTTGGGAGTCAGACTCAGAGGCTTTGGGCAAATTATAGCTTATTTTCTTTCACAGCAAAGAATGCTTGGGCTATCGTCTTGTCGAATGGTTAATTACCCTCTATCCATATCAGAGGTATTTTTTAATGGAATATCCTAAGTAAGATGTTACCCTAACATACTATTATTAAATTTTTATTATTATTAAAAATACCCTAACATATTTTTAAAGCAATATCGAAATACTGACAGCTATAACTGTAATAGAATTATTATCTACAATAGGCTAATATAGGACTTATTTATAAACTTCACTCTGTGTAAAGCTATGCATACCGTGTTCATATCTCATTTATGTTGTCAACCCTTGTATAAAGAGGTCAGTGAAAAATAACTGGAGTCAAGTTTGAAGACGTATGTAAAGATGTATACTTAGAAGGTTATCTGATATAAATATAGTGTGTACCATATAGTCATAGTTTAGGACAAAAATAATCTTTTAAGAGAGGTATGTATGAGAGAGATAATGGGGGAAGAATGGAAAGAAGAAAAAAAAGTTATGGTTGAAGTTTTAGCTCTTTGAATATTAACACATTAGTATTAAGACCAGTGTAATGTTCAGTTTTTCCAGGGCAAAAAGAAATCCACAAGATTGTTATCAGTGAATAAAATGGTAAAAGCTGCCAGTGACTAATATTACAATGTTGTATTTCAAATGCAGATGAGCACATTCATTTTGTTCTTTATAAAGTGTAATGCTAGAACTTTTTGCCAACTTTACCAGCCAGTTTTCCTGTAACATTCACTCAGGCAACTCTCCTCTGTACATGAAACAGAAAACTGAAGGTATGGATAAAACATTTGATAACAGTTCTGGCTGGGTAGCTCAGTTGGTTAGAGTTTCATCCCCATACGCCAAGGTTGCAGGTTCGATCCCCCCTGGTCAGGGCATGTACAAGAATCAAGTAGTGAATGCATGAATTAGTGGAAAAACAGATCAGTGTTTCTCCCTATCCCTCCCTTCCTCTCTCTCTAAAATCAATTTTAAAAACACCTGATAAACTTTCAAACACTGAAACTTTTACTTTAGCTCTTAATTTCAATTTATTCCCATTGCCTAGCCATTTGATAGAGATGATCACATATGAAATCCACTGATTAGTCATTAATTAGAGTTTTTCCTCTGTACCCTGTTTATGTGTTCTTTGGAATAAAGATATCAGTAAGTAGTGAAGTGTCAAAAGAACTACTTGGCCCTTAGGAGAAGCAAAAGTTGTTATTTACAAAAATGAAAATTCTCCACAAACTTTTACTGTTATTTAATACATATTTTTATTCAATTTTACTACTTATTTATGCAGATTTGAGAATATATATGAACGTTACCCTACTCTCAGCTTTCCGTTTTACCATTGAGAGGGTTCAAACAAACCTCCCAAATATTCCACTTCGGCATATGGACAATCTGAGCTAAAGGCAGTCACAACCTAGTAAGAAAAACTTCCACCTCTCCTTTAAGCACCCCAGAAAGAGAGCTATTACCAGAGATGACTTTTTGTCTCAGTGATCTGTGTGTGTGGCAGAACAAGCATCTAATGAGCAAACCATCTGCTCTTCTTATCATCCTGTGGATTACCATATTTTGCCATGTAAAATGCACACTTTCACCCCCAAATTTTTGATGGAAAAATAAGGATGTGCGTTATACGTAGGTAGTACTAAACCTCGGATATGCATTATACGCGGCAAAATACGGTACCTCCTTCCCTCTGAAGCTCCAGGGGGTCATCCCATTTCTGAGCGCAGGCGGTTCATCAGCCTCGGCTGCCCAGCTTGCCCTTCAGTCCTTACCCATGTGGCCCCTGTATGCACACAGTTAAATTTGCTTTTCTCCTGTTGGGTGGTTTTACGGCAGTTTAATTATTGGACTAGCCAAGAGAAGAGTAGGAAATAAATGTTTGCTCCCCTTTACCATCATTTTAATAAGAAGATGATGTTGGTCGTTTTGGTATTACAAATCATAATGTCATGTTACATTTCATGCTTACAATTTTCCACAAATGCATGCTAAGTAAATAAGTAAGAATGTGAAACAATAGCTGGCTAGCAGTTTTGAACATTTAAAATTTATATTTAAGAACCATATTGAAGATTTTAATACAGGACCATTGAGACAACATAATAAGGAATGAGTAACTAGCAATTCTACAAGTTGACAGGTAACTGCTTGTTTTGCCTTTCATCCTTTACGTGTCGTTGGTTAACTGGCAAATGGGCCTTTTTCACCTGACCATTTGAAAGTTTTCTTAGATCCCTAATGGACATTTTCAGTAAGAAAGGTGTATTATAGAATGTGCATGTCCTCAGGTCTGAATATGGTCGTCATATTAGAATTTGTGACTTTAAGTAAACCCATGGGGAGCTGTTAGGCAGTAACGTTATTTCTTAAGTTCATGCTTAATTTGAAGAGTAATCAAAGCATGAGGATTTTAGCTGTTTTTATGATTTTCATGATACTGGAGAGAGATTCTCTATGATGATACTTTATGACCATTTTTAGACCTGAAGTGACCAGTTTGGGGGATAATATTTTAAATTGAACATAAAAAATAAACTCCCATTGAAATGAGTGGAAGTAGACTGCTCAGGGCAATGCCAACTGCTGCTACCATGGCCACTGTTTTAAAATGATGACCTTTCTATTATTTGACTATTAGCCAGTTAAGCAATTCACTATTGCTCTTAAATAAAAGACCAGTTTTTAACACCATGGAAGCCACCATTGCAGGTAATTCAAGGAAGGTTGCCTCCTCCATCCGCAAATACTTCCCATTGTAGCAGATTACAAATATGTGCACTGCACTCATCATCAGTTTGCCTTCAGGCTTCTCTTTTTCATTATGTTTGCAAACACCTTGTTAGTAATACTGCTGGATGCGGTGTGAAGTTTTAGCTCGTGTTTTACGTATACAAGGGTTTAAGCAATATAATAAGAGAAGTACAGAGTTCAGCTTTAGAAATTTAAAAGCTTCTATTTCAGGATCTCTGAATTCACTTTACTTTCTTTTCTCTAGCATTCATCTTACAATGTACCTGTTGTAGGTGGGGGAAACTGCAGAGCCTTGGTAATCTCATATCTCAGTTTTAGTTATGGCTCTGATTCACAGCTGGTGATATGACCCTGAGTTACTAAAACTCTCTGCCGGGCCAGTGCTTTCCTCTTCTGTAAAATGGGGCTGATAAAACTAGCTGCACAGTATTGTGAAAACCAAAAGAGATGATGTAGTTAAAGCTCCGCCCCGGCACAGTAGATGGTGTGTTACTTCTCCCCTCCTTCCCTTTCACCCCGACTTCAGGGCGGCTGATATCTTTGAAATGCAGTAGATTACAGTTTTATTAGTCAGTTCTAAGCTGTTAGATAAGCTGCTGCTGTTAACCATTTCATCAGATATTTCTTTGGACTCTAAAATACAAATAAATGGTGGAAAACCTTATTATAGTACAATTATAAAGAAGGATTATGAATTTCACATGATAGCACATAGTGTCCGTGTGAGTTGCTCAGGTTACAGCAGACAAGGATCATTATATAATAAACGCTCCCCTTGTTCTGTGTTCTTGTCACAATGGCTCAATTTAATAAGAGGTAGTTGATTAAACTGTTTGCATTGTCAGCAGGAAACTGGAGAGAGTAGCTGAACTGGAGGAGATCCCCCTCCTACACACAAGCATTGTTAACCTGGTCCCTCCTCGAACCCGTCTCAGTGATTTCTGTTGGGAACACTCGTGTAAATCACCAAATTGCTCCGAGATAAAACCAGAGCTCTGGAGGGATTTCATTGCTCAGGGAAAACTGGTTGAGGCTTGGAGTGGTGATCCCTTCTATTTCTCCCTCCTGGGTGTGTATGCTTTGGCCCGGGCAACAGCGAAGGGAGGCCTTACCTGTCCTTGCACACTGAGAACACTGCCCGCCCCCACCGGATCCGGTCCCGAAGACTGCTGTTCCAGCTTCGCCTCGGTTTCTGGCACATGATCCTGTCCCTTCAGACATAGTTTTCATCAGTATTGATAATTACAGCGGTAACATTAATCACACACTTCCTAGAACTGGGCAGCTTAGTGAGGGCTTTTACACACATAATCTTATTATTCCTCAAATAGCAACAGTGTTTTTATTTTCCCTATTTATGGATGAGAAAACCGAGAGTGAAGCAGCTAGTATGTGGTAGAGTCAAGTACGAGGCCAGGCTGTGCTGCACGCTGGGCCCACGCATTGACTCTCACACCATTGTCCTTCCTCTGCGGGCAGAGCCGGAGGCTGGAAACGCAGAAGCCCTGAGTCTTCAATGGCTGCCCCTGGCCTATACACAGTGGAGTCCCAGTTTGTTGACCTGGCATTTGAAACCTACCACGGGCTGATTCAGATCTCCCCTCGAAACCTTATCTCCACTGCACCCAACAGCAGCTCACGGCCTGGCACCGCTCAGTTCACTTTCCCTGTGAACTGTTTCCCTTTGCCTGTCCAAACCCAGTGCAGCTTCTCCGTGAAGACCTTCCCGGCTGCAGGGAGTCTTCATTCCGTCACGGTCCTGGTTTCCCTTCTCACTGTGCTCCTGGACAGACACAGTTTCTTGTAGTCTCGAAGCCGTGTCCCTGGGGCTACTACCCCCTGGGGAGGAGGTATCAATATTTCAGAAGCAGGAGTGCCTGGCACTTGCTGATTCTCGGTGTATGTGTGCCTACTTCCTCTTTCATGCTTCAGTGACAGGGTGTGCACTTTGGAGCCAGACACAACTGTTTCTGAATTCTGTGAGCTCTGTTTCTAGCGGTGAGAATTGAAGCAAATCACTGAGCTTCTCCACACTTTGGTTACCATAAAACAGATCATTATAGTACCAGCTCATGGACTTATCATGAAGATTAAATGAGATTCTGTGTTTAGGACATAGCGAGTGCTTACTAAAGTGCATTGTTATTATAAAAGAATTTTCTGTGTATATTATCATTATTATGTTGTTATGTTATAAATTTGAAGCATCCCTCATGCATATTACAGACATTTAGTGAGTGATGTTGGTTTTTTTTAATTCAGATATATTTCATAAACCATCAAATTGACTGCTTAAAAATCTTTTTAATTTATTGATTTGAGAGAGTGAGACGTTGATTTGTTGTTTTTATTGTTCCACTTATTCATGCCTTCACTGGTTGATCCTTGTATGTGTCCTGACCAAGGATCAAACCCGCAACCTTGGTGTATCAGGATGGCGCTCTACCCAGGCAGGACAGACTCATCAGGTATTAACTGCAGCATTTTTGCCGAGTCTGCCACTGCAGATTGTCATACGTGACCCACTGCCAGGGCCTGCACGCCCACTGGAGAGGGAAACGTTCCGGGTGAGCTTCCAGCCCTACAGGAAGAACTTGAGATAAATGAACATTTGAATGAAAACTAGTTCACACTTTTTGCTGTTCCCTAAACCTGCCTTCTAGATCTGGGGGGGTGGAGGGGGAGGGAATCTAAAATGTCATCCTTCTGGTTTGATTTGGTTGTTACTAAAACTTTTTTTTTTAACTACTGAATGCTTTAGAAGTTAGGTAAATTTGTTTGTAATGACAATTCAGTTGTGTATTTTGCTCAGAATGAGACAAGAGGAAGCATTATGTGCATTTTCAGAAACCACCCTCATTTTGGGTGATAGCAAATATCAGTGAGTGCTTAGCAGCTCTTGAAACACTTGTTCAGTTACATCAAGTTTAAGTGAATGTGTTGTGTTTAAAACCAAAATTCAACTGAGTGCATTTTAAAGATCTTACTGGCTTTATTTAAGGATTCATGAATCAGGCACCATGCAGCCAGGCCAATAGAAAGGAGCCCCAAGGACTATAAAACATGAAGGACTTTTCATAAGAAGAAGGGAGCAGGGCAAGGAAGATGTGCTAGGCAAAATGGCGGGTTGGTGATGGCAGGCCACCGTCCCTTGGGGACGGCTGGGGTCCGTCAGGCAGCAGGCTGGCCTCACCCGGGCTGATTGGGTGACTCCTGATTGGTGGGTCCGAGATGCCACTCCTGGGAGGGCTGAAGTTGTAACGAAGGCTCTGGTGAGTGGGCTTGGGCTTAGCATAAACACCTCCGTTTTGGGGCCTGTCGTCTTGTTTTCAAGACACCTGGCTGTTGGGTTTAGGGTTCCAAATGAGATGAAAGCTGAATTGAGAAAGAGTTGCAGCTACTCTTTCAGGGCCTGGAATCTGCTCACTCCGTTCTTTGTGGTGAGATGCAAATGGGGAAGTAATACACCCAGTGTAACTGCTAAGTATTTATGTCTCACTGGGTTTTCCTTTTTTTTTTTTTTCCAGTTTAACTCCAGGGAATTATTTTAAGACTGTTTTTTATGAGGTTTTGAATTTGCCTAGCAGTTGCTAGGAAAGATAGGGAAGATAATGAGTTGAATGGCTGGAATTTGATGTGGAATAATGGTTTTCTGTATTTTCCTTTGCATGATTTTAAGGAGAACTCAGATTTCCCTTATCTTTTACCGTTTGCTTCCCACCCCCGCCCTCCCCGTAAAGACTGAGTGTGTGTTACTGGACTTTTCTGAAACCCAAAATATTCCGAGAAGTGTTCTTCTGTTGGTACTTATATGGTTTCTCGTTCTCATCTGATTTTATCTTTGGGTTTTATAATGTGCACTCCTAAGTATCAATGGAAACCTACTTGGAATATCGGGTTTCTGGAATTAACAAAGTATTTGTAGAATTTTGTCTTTCTTATAGTTTTTAAAGTCTGTATTGATCCCATGAACATTTTGTAATGATCCCTTAATATAGAGTCATTTATACTTCATGAATATTTATATTGAATTATGTAGGAAGATGTGTAAATATGGTCATGTGCAGTGATCATCACTGGTAATGTCAGCTTTCAGTTCTTGAGTTCAGCAAAGAAAGGACTCAGGCCCAAGGCCTGTCGTGCTAGAGGAAGTTTATGCAGCATCTGAAGCACAGGCACACGGGCAGAGAAGATGTGAGCACGGTGCTCGGAGGGTCGCCTTGGCCTTTTGGAAAGGATGTCACAGAAGCAGAAAAAGTGAGCCAGCTGGGCTGCGTGGGCTCAGGAAACAAGTTACAGTGATGAAAGAAAGGACCTCGGAGACGGGTTCAGGAGGTAAACCTGAGACAGGCCTCCTCTGTTGCTTCCCAGTTTGCAGGTCTTGGAACCCTCAGAGCTTAAGAGAAAGTGAAGCTGCATGCCTGAAGAAAGAGGGCATGGGGGTGCAAGAGAGAGAGAGAGAGAGAGAGAAAGTGCGTGTGCACACATGCCCTAGGTCCTTTGTCTTAGGGGCTTTTATCTGTTTTCTAAAGTCAGGAATTTACAGGGAGGATCTCAATAGAATATTCCTCAGCTTGGGTCAGGGTCATGGTCTCCACTGATTGGTCAGCATTGGGGGTCATTGGTCTTTGCCTCTGGTCCCAATACCAGCTCTGACATTGCTTGATCTGGTTGTGCTGCTTTTTGGACCTGGAGCTGTGAAACCCACCTGAGGCCTCCTAGGTGTTATCTCTAGTTGGACGAAACTGTCTCTTTGGTCATCAGACCGGAGGCTTTGTTCCCAAGATTGTTTGATGCTGATGGGAATCTCATTGTCCTGAGGGCTTAATGCTTAAGGGAGTGGTCAGGTGAGGGAGAGGGAGGCAGGTGAGACAGGGGCTGCTGAGGCCAGTTCCAATCAGCCATCTGTCTCAGCTTCAAGAGCAGAGCCTGCACGGGCTCTGCCTGCCCCTGGGGCCCTGGGGCGGGGGGGAGCACACAGAAAAAGGCGCTCGAGACCATTTTCTGTCGTAGTGCTTTGTCCTCCTTTCCATCCTGCTCCACGGCCGTGTTGATGGGAACGTTCTGCAGGTAGGACGGAAAGGGCCTCTGCAGCCCCTCTGTGAGGTGAGGGGACTTTTAATGGTGTGCGATCATTTCGTACTGTATCTGCTGCTCGGACTGCTGGATGAGAAAATACTACTTTAAAACCGCTTTGCTTTGCTGTGTTTGGGGAAAACGAAAAAAGATAAACATTCACACACTATTTAGGTTTTTCTTGTTTCGGCTGCTTCCACATTTGACATTTGAGGATAAATAAATAAGTCCTTTCTGAAGGCCAGGGAGGGTCTGTCGGACCCCTACTCATCCAGCACGACCCAGGGATGGTTTGGTCAAAATAATCCTAGCAACGTGCCTGTTGGAACAGGAACAAAATCAGCTACCTGAGTATGACTCTTTCTATGTGAAAGTCTTAAAACAGCACTTAAAAATCACTGGAGATTTTATCTGTTACAGTTTTAACTTAATGTGATCCAGAGGCTTTTGAAAATCATTTATAGTTGGTTTGGCCTCTGAATAGAAAGCTTGTGAAGACTAACTAATAAAGAGTGTAACAACTGCCATTGAACCCTCTCCTCCAGGGAAAGAGTTGTTATTCGAAAATCCAGATGAGGGTACCAAGTAGACTGCATTAGTTGAGACACACTGTAGCATCTCTGGGGGGGATTACTTTCTTAACATCCGGGAGTAATGTTACCCCTTGTTTTTATTCTGATAGAGATAAATAGGTATTTTACCTTCACACCCCCCCAAGAAGCCTATTTGGTGGAGGGAAGTAGGACACACATCGCTCCTGACTCCTTCTGAGCACCTGTGAGAACCTCCCGTCCGCCCCATCCCTCTCATTTGCATGCCCACGAGGAAATGCCCTGGGACCCACCTCACCAGCTCCCGCCTGAGCTGGGGACCACTATTGGTTACCACTGATGCAAGTGCCGCCTGCTGCCCCTTCGATACACAGCGAATGGGGTTGTGGGCCCTGCCCCCGATTTCAGGTGACCCCCCTCTCCCACGCCTCTTTTCAGCGGAGTGGCTTGATGCGAAGTAGGTGGCTGCAGGAACATCCTCGGCCACCCTGGGCCTCAGTCCTCAGGGAGAGGCAGAAAGGCAGCACAGGTGTCTTGCTGCAGAGGGCAGGCGGTGTGCAAACAGGTTTGTGTGCCAAGGCCACTGAAGTTCAGGAGGGGGTTGTAGCTGTTTTTTCTAGGACTGGAGAAAGTGTTTTCTAGGAAAGGAGGAAAAGCCAGTACAAAGATGCAAAGACAGTTTTTCAAATAGATCACCAGTTTTCAAAAGATACGCTTTTTGTGGGGGCCACAGCATACATTTCATTGCATGAGAGGAGAAGCATTTGAATTTCTTCTTTGCAGAGTCTGAAAGTGAAGTATGGAGGAATGTTTTAAGGGCGGCAAAAAAATGAAGGATGCAAATCAAACTTAGGGAGTCCTCGCTTTAGAAACCGTATGTGCTGTGGCTGGGACGGAGGACCGCTTGGAGTTAGGAATAAAATGTTCTTAATCTAGTTACTGTGGCTAATGAAAACAGTCGTTTAAAAGTAACCAGACACTTTTTAAAAATACCTAATTATTTACTAAATTGACTGAATTGTTTGTAGTTGCTAGCTTCTGCCTGTTTATGCAATTTTTAAAACTATCTTTACAAGCTTTGATTCTGTTTTTAAAAAAATGTTTTGTACACTTATAGCCCTGATTCCTTCGATGTCTTAAAACACAGTGCCGGGAGTATGTGATACTGTTTTCCTGTTCCTTTTTTCCTTGGATTCTAAGTGTTTTTCTTAAGCAAGGAGATCACCTGCTGTTACACTAATGCGCTCTCCGGGATGCACCCACAACTGCCTAG